CATCATCATCCTCTTCATCGTGGTGGTCTTGTGTATTATCATATTGGTCGTCGTGGTTGCTGTCATCATCATGGTCGGTATTAACAACATCGTCGTGGTTGTTTTATCATAGAAATCATAATCAGTGTTGTCGTCATCATCATCATCATCATCGCCATTATCATCGCCGTCATCATCATCATCGCCGTCATCAAGGTGATCATCGAGGTCATCATCATCATCAACGCCGTCATCATCATCAACGTCGTCATCATCATCATCGCCGTCATCATCATCATCGCCGTCATCAATGTCATCATCGAGGTCATCATCGCCGTCATCATCATCGCCGTCATCAAGGTCATCATCGAGGTCATCATCATCATCAACGCCGTCATCATCATCAACGTCGTCATCATCATCATCGCCGTCATCATCATCATCGCCGTCATCAAGGTCATCATCGAGGTCATTATCGCCTTCATCATCGCCGTCATCATCATCGCCGTCATCAATGTTATCATCGAGGTCATCATCGCCGTCATCATAATTTGTTATCATCGTCATTTTTCATGGTCATTATCATCATAGTCGGCATCATCGTCATAGTACTCCTCGTCATCGACATAATCATCGTCTTCATCGTCATTATCACTATCATTGTCATCATCAACATCATTGTCACATCATCATCACCATCGTCATCATTACAATCATCATCACCATCGTCGTCATCATTACAATCATTACCATCATACAATCATGATCACAATCGTCGTCATCATAATCATCATCATTCTTAAAATCATAATCATCCTCATCTTCGTCGTCGTTATCATCGTCATCTTCATCATCCTCATCACCCTTACAATCATCATCATCGTCATCATCATCACCATCGTCATCATCATCACCAATTATACCGATGGATGGATTAAACTTTGAATGAATAGATTTCATTTGACGGATGAATGAATAATACATGGACAGGTTAACCTTTTCAACATTTCAAGAAAACATACAAACAAGCTGGAACTAAGAACATTCCTGGAGCTAACAGAGCAAGCAAAGACATCCGAGGAAGAGACAACACCAGGTCAACAATGACGCATCATTCTCATTTAAGTTTCCCCCGGATGTACGAATCTTTGCCATGGAACTCATCCCTCACAATGAGTTTTAATAAAACGGCCTGCAAGAGATATATCGCCTGCAATCTGTTTCAACTAATCGTATGTTGACTGGATCACAGATCTCCTTGCAATTGTTTTATTGGAATCTGCAAAGCATAATCAACCTTTCTCGCCTGGGTTAAAGAAAACCAGGTCCCTAGTTGAATATAAATCAAGTTTTAGATTTTAAATAAAAGGATATTTAAAAAACAACAACAACAAAAACAACAACACGAGAATGAAGAAATATATTTTTGCATTTTCTCCCGGAAATAATTGGTGGTTGTCTCTCTTGAGTGTCGTAAACATAGTTGCGTCCCGTGACTAGATAAATGAAGTTGGGTTGGAAGTGAGGTCGGATCGGAATCCGCATGTTACTTGTCTTCATATTTCTTTGTGGGTTTGTTTCGATTAGTTTTGGTATGATTGTTTTTAATCTCGTGTTTCTATCGGTGTTAATGGAAAAAGGGTCATGTTTGCCATATTTCTTTCACTTTGTTTCCCGCTGTTTGTTTTTGAAGATGTGGCGCCAAAATAAAAAAGGCGTTTCTTTTCAAGTGGGGGCGGGGGGGGGGGGGGGGGGGGTAAGGGGGGGGGGGAAAGTGGGAGGGGGGGGGGGGGGGGTAAGGGGGGGGGTAAGTAAGGGGGGGGGGGGGGGGGGGTAAAGGGGGGTAGGGGAAGGGAGATAAATACGAGCCTAAAATCTGAATTAAAAAAAATAATCTCACTTTGCAGTGCTGATTTAGGCATAAGCTAACTAAACAGCAGCTCAGGGCTTCAGATTCTGCAGAGGCCTCAACAAATTGCTGTGTTTTGTTCACAACGCAATTCTATTGTAATAGAGCATTTTAGATGATTCTACCATTTCTGTAATTTTGCAGACACATACTTTATTAAACAACATTATTCCATCAACCATATATTTAAAGGCATATATATTTAAAGGCATATATATTTAAAGGCATATATATTTAAAGGCATATATATTTAAAGGCATATATATTTAAAGGCGTATATATTTAAAGGCGTATATATTTAAAGGCGTATATATTTAAAGGCGTATATATTTAAAGGCATATATATTTAAAGGCATATATATTTAAAGGCAAATATATTTAAAGGCATATATATTTAAAGGCATATATATTTAAAGGCGTATATATTTAAAGGCGTATATATTTAAAGGCGTATATATTTAAAGGCGTATATATTTAAAGGCATATATATTTAAAGGCGTATATATTTTTTAAGTTTCCTGGGATTAACTGATGTAATTTAAAACGGTAGGGGCCCAAGGGCTTTATATACCTTAGGGCTTCATCGGTTAGATCCAGCTTTGTCACTTTCCCTCCCTATCGTCCTACATCAGCAATTGGTGGGAAATGGGATCAACTTCACATCCCCCGCCTTTACGTCCCACAACTCTACCTGGTACCTATTTAAGGCTCGGTCGATCGAACGAACGAACGAACAAACTAACTTTATTTTCAAAGGGTTCCAAATTAGGCACGCAGGCCTGTCTTACATTCGGCCCTTCCAAACTTCCATCAGATCAGGGAACCAAGATCATTTATGAAAAAAAGGGCGGTTGTGTTCGGATTTGAACCCACGAACATGGGATCGACAGGCGGGTGTCCAGCCGCTACATCCCGGTGGCTGTCCTCTGTTACCAGTTGCAGAAGTAGCCCCAACATTGTTTGCATGTTGTGTTTTTAGCCAAATTTACGTTCAGTTGTTTGCCATTGCTACTAAACGGTCGACTCTCGACGCCAATGTCGTAATCAACGCAAGGCGGTCAGCTGTCTAATCACCTGTAGCTGGGATCGAACCCGGCACTACGGAGCGCTTTCGCATCGCTAATGCCACAGGTGCCGACCAGTAAGGACCAATGTAGAACAGCGGTGCACGACAAGTTCAGCGAGGATATTCTAAACAGGTTGAACACGTTATAATTGAAACATACTAAAATATTTATGGTCTGTAGACTGTAAGTGTTGAAGACAAGTCGAACACAATGGTTCCACATCGAATTTAGCACAATCCTCCCACCAGACAGGTCGCTATTTGTCTTGTGGGAGATATTCGTTGTTCCTGTTATTTCTGTTCCAGACAATTGTTATTCTTGCTATTATTGTTATGTCTATCCACAGACTATGATGACCAAAATATCTTGAGTAGAAATCGGGACATCCCACTTCTTGCCACCAAACTTTTTTTTTCGCCTAGGCTACCAGGGTGAACGGGTTAATTACTGGGTCAACATTGGTATTAAAAACCGAAATATTTCCGCTAAGAAATAAACGAAACAATATGTTCTTTAACTGCAATAACAAAATAAAAAGAATTCTTGCATGAAAATTCTCAACACCACATTTTCAAGCATTAAAAGTATCGAAAAGTATAACATTTAATAAGGTCTACAGATACAAGTGTACGAGGTTCCATTTTCAAGCTTTTTCCTAGACTGTTTTATAAACCCGGACCATTTGCTGTATTTTTAGGGGGACCGTCGGCTAAGTCGATGCGAACTCTTCATAATGCCGGGATGCCGGGTTCGATCCCAGCGGCGGGCCATGTGCCTTGCGTTGGTTTCGACAGTGGTATCAAGAAAGCCGACCCTCCAGAAAGCAATGGCAAACTACTGGACGTAAATTTGCCTAGAAAAACCACACAAGAGCCAGGGACTGTTGGGGTTGGTTCTGCAACGTCCTGTATAGGATACGCAACTAACCTTAACCTTAGGGGGACCGGGGGGGGGGGGGGGGGGGGGTGGTGGATGGAGGAGGTACCGACCGGACGGCCGTGGCAAACCTAGAACACAGGACGTAGTATCAACCTTTCCACGATAACAATTATTTATGTAACCCATTATCCCTGTGTGGGTTCCGGGGTCCACATGTGGGGAGAACATCGTCAGACACCCCGCCTACCCAACAAGCATGTCGTAAGAGTCGACTAATGGGGTGGCGGAGGGGCGTTTTTCGAAGTCAGAGTGTATCTGGCTAAGAGACAAGAAACCTAACAATCTGCATACAAATAAGTCAGATCTGTGAAACGGATGTGCACGCAACATTTAGGAACAGGACTAGGAAATGGACAACACAACTAAAACTTTCCACCAGAGCTTACAGCCGGCGAACGAGAAGAAGAAGATAAAGAACAACCACATCATCTATTAGTCCGTTGTTCAGACAGGCCTGGCCAGTTACATTAGCACAATCACTTGCCTACTTACCAACAGGGTTGTGATTCTAAAAAGGTAAAAGGTCAAGTCGGGAGGTATGAACCAGCATCATTGCACATGGTTATTAACCATAAGTGTTCTGCCACCAGTCGGGACAGCTGATAAGAATTGTCCACCTGTGTCGCCGTTCGCAAGTAACTCCGTAGCTACAGCGACGTTCCTCCATTTACCCCAGAGTGTCAACTCTGGTACCCATTTCCTACATGCTGGGGGAACCCCGGGAACCGCTAGGTTTCGAACATCGACCGTGGCTATAGCGAGTCGCAGCTGGATTTGAAAGCGGGCCTCTTATCGACTGCGCTAACGCATTATTCTATATGATTATATGTTCAAATTCCTGGTGCTAAGATTATTTCCGGGAAAACCGACCAGCGAACTGAGTGCTGACTTAGTCTTAACACGCGTTGACCCAGCAGGTCGTCTACGTCTCTTTTCTCTTCTTCCTTGCCAGTGGTTTCCAGAGGAGGTTTAACACATGCATCCATGAAGTCTTTGGAGCAATGAATGTCTTCCACTGATCCATACAGAATGTTTTTCGCAGGAATGCTAACTGGGCAGACTCGTGACTTCGTTACTGCATGTAGTAAAGATGTAAAGGTGCCTTTAGGCGTATAGGGTTAGACCTATATTTTTTTTAGACCAATCAGCACAAGATGGGTGATATGGTCAGCATCACACGGCCCGCCTTTACTTCCCGAGACTGCACCCGGTACCCACTCAAGGCTTTTTTGAAAAAAGGCAGGCTTCGCCAGGGAGCAAACTAACGACCTTTGATTTGAACGCAAGCGTCTAGCCGCTACGCCATGGTGAACTGCATGTAAAGCTTGTCTGAATCTAAAAACAATGGTCTGTGGCTTTTGTGTGAAAAGTTTAACTGGGTCTTCAGGATTGTGTCGGGGATGGAAAGTGTTCGAATACTCTCAAATTGAGCCTTGATATGGGTTTTAGTTTATCACAAGTGGGTCCTGTATCTGAATTTTGTGTATTACTTATTGCTACACAATCTGCTCTTTCATTTCCCGTAATGTTTCAGTGCCTGGAATCAACTACAGCCCAATCTGCTCGGTTAGCTGTCTCATTTGACTCTGTAGAGATGAAAGCATACGAACCTGTAGTTGTTTATTATTTTGCATTGATCACTTCTTTCTTCACCAGCTGTAAACTCCCGCGGAAGTCCTGGTACATTTAGACGTGTACATCCGTTTTACTGGCTTATTTGTGTGTAGCAAGTCGTTCCTTGCCGCTCGGGCAGTTGCACTCCGACTTTGAAGTTCGCCTTCAATTAGTCGACTTCTACGACATGCATGTTATGGAGGTAGGGGGTCTGTTCTTGTTTCCCCCACAAAGGGACCCCGAAACCCACACGGGGAGCACTGCTTGCAATCTAAGCAGGTTTTCAACCAGTACAACCATTTCCATTCACCCAGTAATATGGTTTCTCCAGCGCTATTAAATCCGATTTGAAACTGGAGGAGTGTTTTTCTTAGGGAGACTTTTACTGCACAACTGGTCAATTCAGTATGGACTCCACATCCTCTGTCCCTTACCAGAGCTGTTCAACTAAGTTTACTCAAGGGTCACATTTATTAAAAAGTCACGAACCAGAGGTATGAGCCCTAGCAAAGTAAGTAAAGGACCCTTTTCCACGCCTTTAGGCGTATAGGGCATAAAGGGTTAAAGCTATATTTGATAGACCAATCGGCCAATATGGGTGAGGTAGTCAGCATCACCCCTGCCGCCTTTACTTTCCGGGACTGCACCCGGTACCCACTCAAGGCTGGGTCGACCTGGGAACCAAGGTAATTTTTGAAAAAAAAAGTCCGGCTCCTCCAGGGAGCGAACCCACGACCGTCTGATCCGCGGCGAGCGTCTAGCCGCTTCGCCACGGCGACTCTCGGTATTAGCCTGGAAAA